TTTTTTTTTTTTTTTTTTTTAATGCTCCAGGATATGCTTATTGACTTGCTGACTTTAGAGAGAGGGGAAGGGGGAGAGAAAGCAAGTGAGGGAAACATCGGTGTGAGAGAGAATATGGATTGGGTACCTTCCATTTGTGCCCCGACTGGGGATGGAACCCCATTCCTAGGTATGTGCCATGACCTGGAATTAAACCTGTAAACTTTCGGTATACAGGTGACGCACCAAACAACTGAGCCACCTGATCCAACTGAGCCACACCGCCAGGGCTTGCTAGCTATTGTAAAAGTTCAAATTAAAACCTTAGATATTCAAAGGCCTCTGATTCCCTTTTCACCCTCCTCCCCTGACCAGCAGCATCAGGACCAAGGTAAGAAGTCATAGGAAATGTGAGGCATTCTGCAGTTTTTCAAGCCTCACCTTATTTTATGACTCTCTGCCATCACCATTGTTTACCCTTGGGATGACTAATTGTGTAGAATCACTTCTCAGAGCTTTATTTTGGTGCACTTTGAAGCCATCTGGGCTTGTTTTCCTGATAAAGGAAATGTATACAAGTGTGTGGCTTTATCAGGATTATGATTGTACCTGGCATTTGGCTGGCTGGGGTTGGGCTGCGCTGCTTGTCCTTTTTTTTTTTTTTTTTTTTAAACCCAAAATGTATTTATTTAATATATTCATCACAGGGGCTCAACCAGACTTAATTTAAAAAACAGAAACAAATGACACCACAGCCGAAGATACAGAGTCCTATACAGAAATCAAGGCAAGGACAGACCATCTAAGGAAAAAATAAAAAGACATCACAAGGAGAGAGGCTGGACAACCCCAGTCTGGGCTCTTGGCTGGAGACCTGCTTTGCATAGGTTTCTTGTAGGTACTTCTTGAAGGCTGTGGGGTTTTTCCAGAGCTCTGCAGCATGTGTGTTCAATGGGCTATCAATGTTGGGTTCTCCTAGCAGGCTCTGGATGGAGAGCAGGATGGTCCTGACATCATATAGGGCAGACCACTTGTCCTTTAGGATGTCCAGGCAGATGTTACCCTGGGTGTCTACGTTGGGGTGGTAGCAGGGCGTGAGGAATTTCACTGTGGGTGCATTGTACAGGTAGCCACTGGGGAACTCTAGGGAGAGCTTATACCTCAGGTATTCATATACTGTGCCAGCTGCTCCATGGATGGTCCCCACCCATTTGAAAAGGTTGTCTGATTCAGGGAAGGCAGAAATTCCTTTGTCGCCAGACATCATTAGGGTCATCAGCTCCTGCTGTAACCTCTTGCCCACGGGCCCACGGGCGGCGCCCCTGCTGGGTTCGGCTCCTTTACGAGCTGTGGCGACACTGGTGGCAGCTGGGTCGCGGTTCTGAGAGGCCATCCGGGCAGCGCTGGCAGGGACACAGGACCTCGGAGAACAAGACTGTAACTGCCTGCTTGTCCTTCTTGCAACAGTGGCAGTAAGGACTGGATTGGTGCTCTTTGTGTTATTTTGCAAATATTAAGTGTCTACTATATATATGAGCCACAGGAAATACATTCATTAGACACAGTTCCTTTCTCTGAGGAGCTCACACCCTAGCAGCCAAAATAACACAAATACTCAAAGAATTGGAATACCATGAGATAAGTGCCGTATGAGTGATAGAATGTTGTGGGAGTGCAAAGGTGGGGAGGAAAAGTTCAACATAAACAGCTAAGTCTTGATTGAAGAAGGAAGCTTCTGGCAGTCTAACGTGCCCTATTCCCACCCCTGCCCCACCTCTAATATAGTGTTAAATTGCTCCTAACTTTAGAGAGAATGCCTCCAGTGTGTTTCACCATTAAGTGATATGCTGTCCTTTGTTAGGCAGTATCTACAGAGTCCCATTATATTGCTGTTTTTTTAATCATTCTTTTTCCACTGTATTGTCACTTTTATCATAAACCTGGTGACCATATATGTGTGGGGCTGTTTCTAGACTTTCTCTTTTGTTCCACGGGTGAGTTTTTCTATTCATGCACCAATACCATCTTGTCTGAATTACTGTAGCTTTAAAATAGGTCTTGGTAACTGATACTATAAGTCCTTCAACTTTGTTCTTTAAGATTGCATTAGTTATTCTTGACGTTTTGCATGTTTTTACGAAGTTAAAATCAGCTTGTCAATTTTTTGGGAAAAAAACCCCTGCTGAGATTCTTTTGTTGGGATTACACTGAACCTATAGGGTAAAATTGACATTACAATATTGAATCTTCCATAATGAAGCTTTTATTCTACTCAGTTGGGTGTAGCTATGAAATGAGTGATTTAAAAAATATAAAATATAAAAAATATAAAATGGATGGGTAATTCTAAGTACCTGTTTCCTACTGCTTCTTCCCCCTTAAGGAAACTGCTAGCACTTGCCCTCTGGTACAGTTGGGGTACAGATACATGGACCAATAAACTTGACCAATTGCATGGTCACTCTTGGAACTTGAAATCCTGAGGAATAATGAAGCTGGGACTACAAGATCCCATCTAAAGTGAAGGGTCCTGTACTTCCCATCTGTCAGTGGGACACTATATCCGTCTTCTCTGGGCTCCCTGCCTTGATAGATGTTTTTAATTTAGTATTACTTTACTCTTCTTCTCAGTAGTATCTCAGCCCTCAGATTATTCTCGACCATCACCTTAGATGATTAGGATATTTGAATCTGTCATCTACATATATTCTAATATAAATTAATGAATAATTATCACATATAACAACCCAAACTAATAAACAATATCTTCATAGTACTACTGAACCATAAATGGAGCCATTGCTAAATGTGTGTAAGGCTTCACCTAAAACTTGTTTAACATATACTAAGTATTAATATATATATTTTTAACTTGTGTAACAAGTATGAGAAATTACTTGTGGAGGATCGAATCTTAAGCTCTGAAATCAGAAAAATATGAATCAGAAACCTGTTTCATTTGCCACTGTTATTGTCTGTGTCCTTGGACAAGTTTATTGAAGATTAAATTGGATAATGCATGTCATGTATTTTACATTATATTAAACTTTTCTTTTTCCCAGATGAGGATACTGAAGACTAGAGAGTTGAAGTACTTTGTCTAGACAGAGAAGTAGTAAGAGGCAGAAGTGGGCAAGCATACTGCCAAGCTTATAGAAAGTGCTCAGTAAATGTCTTGAATGAATGAACTCAATATTGACCCCATATGCCACTATATTCTCTGTTGTTTCCTTTGTTAACTAAATAACAATAGACTGTTCCTGTTCATTTGGCATTTACAAAACCAGAATATTTAAATAGCTGAATTTTGATGGGCATATCTGAAATTTAATGATGAGAAAAACTGTAATTTAGGATCAGAGATTATTTTATAAATAACTCCTGAGGTCTGTGAGATAAAATTAAGGTATGTGTTTGTCCCTTTTGGGGCTTCTCCTCCCTATTCTTCCTACAAGCATCCCCATATTCCATCTGAAGGAAACTTTGGTGGGGAGGGGTGGAATGGGTAATTCTAAGTACCTGTTTCCTACTGCTTCTTCCCCCTTAAGGAAACTGCTAGTACTTGCCCTCTGGTACAGTTGGGGTACAGATACATGGACCAATAAACTTGACCAATTGCATGGTCACTCTTGGAACTTGAAATCCTGAGGAATAATGAAAGCCCAGGATCAGTTTCTGTTGCTTGGAACAAAGACTTGGCTGATGAAAATATCAACGGAAAAGTCAAACTAGTTTTTATGCATCCTATTGTCTAAAGGCTTTTTAGAGCTACTAAAAGGCATTTGAATCATTAAAGCCGAATGAACAGATTTGTTATTTTTGACCATGGGGGTGTGTGTGTGTGTGTGTGTGTGT